CCTACAGTACCCCAAGATTGGAGTGCGAAAGCCGATGCTTTGGTGACGTCGCCAAACACGGACCATACCCTGCAGGATTTGCCCACAATCTGGAGGATCTCTGAATTCGAGGATCTTCTGCAAGAAAACCCACCCATTCATCAGCACTTTAGCCGTTCAAGCGCAGAATCGTCTGGCAGAAAAACTCCCGGCTTGTCATCGGCTGGTGCACGTGAGTCATTGGCACAGATTAATTTGTGCTTGAATACCCCAGCGACCACGCGGTATATCCCATAGGGGTTGGTCAACGTCGAGTGCTTTATAGTGTTTATACTCTTCACATTCCAGCCAGATCAAGGTGCATTTAAATGAGTCTTGTGGTGCGCTTGTGCATGCTGCAAACGAGAACCGAAACAAACCGCATTATGTTGTAGTACAGTGCGCAGTATGGTGTTCGCCTGTTCGGATTTGTTTTGATTGATGTATAGGTCAGCCAGCAGTAACCAACCTGGAACACTCACGTAATCATACGTACCACACAATGGCGAAGAAAAAGCCACATAATACTCGAAGGGAATAGAAAGTTGGTAAAACTTTAAAAATTCATCAAAGCAAAATATTACAGAATAGAGAAGATTGGGATTGGGGAGGTGGGGGGGGGGGGTGGCGATCCAGTCTGCTAGAGCAGTCACTGGCAACGATGCTGGGTCCACATCAACACAACGATCCAGGCCATGACACTCGACGAAAGGGAGACACTGAATTCCCTTCTCGCAGAAGTGTCATAGCAAGCACCGAGTGTTCAGAATCAGGGGCAATGGGACAACGTGGAAAATAGAGCAGATGGAAATGGAAAAGAGACAAAATAAGCACAACCAATGAAGTAAATAGAAAAGCAGGTAAAGAGAACTTCAAAGAACTCACACTTCTCCAGATAATCGGCGTCTTCTAGGGACCATGGATGGCCAACCACACGTTTGAGCATAGCCTTTGCCTTCGGCGTTTGTTTCATCAGCATATACGCTCGGGCTACGACCAGTACGGCGCCAACGCTTGACACCTTCTCCTTCAATTTGACGTTTGCAATTGCTTAACGAACAGACGTGAACGGGATTCAAATCTTTGGAAGATCGTTGGAATTAGAACTTTATTCAAGTCTCTATCTACTCTAGTACGATCTAGCGTCCGAAGTCGCGTCGCGGCCAGCGAATCGCTCGATTGGCTGGTACCGCAACGCGACCGCGACGCTAGCGAATCGCTCGATTCGCAAAGTCTGACATCGGCCGTAAAACTGAACATGGCTCAGCTCGTGTTGTTTAGTACCTGCTATTTTTCAAAGGTAAATTATAATGATGAAAAATTAACTAGGAAATAGACTAAGGAAGGGCAAAAAAGATGTGTGTTGATTACAATACTTTTCTCGTAGGATTTGTAGAATGGCAGCTGTTTTGTGTCTGGTAGCACCAGACAGCTGTCATTCATGTGAATTATGGAGCATTAGGACAAAAACTTCCTCTTATTAATATTACACAAGATTTAGTGATTGAAACTAGGTCAAAATCACATGTTGTTATACCAGGTACTCCAAAGCAAGGCATATAAGAGAACCGAATTTTTTAAAACTGTAACTCAAGTACAACGTCATACAAAAATGCGCAAAAAACCTAGCTGACAGAGTATAGGGAGGGACAAAAATACTGCTGCACCTTCGAGAATAGCTTTTAGAAACGAATTCTAATCGCGAATATTATTTGAAGAAAAGATGACAATTCAAAGCACATTAACAATTTTAAAAATGGTCGCCTCTAACACACTCGCCGTTATGAAAGGGTTCAAATTTCGGTAATTGATAGAACAGTCTTTTCCCTTCAGGGCAGCCCATACTTGGAAATATATCGGTCTTTCCGAGAATTGGAGAGCCATTCGTCATAACTGATGAAGTTGAGGGTTTGCTCGGTGCACTGTTCCTGGACCATTCTCGGTCAGTGTCCTGAAGCAAACCCTTTGGTGAATTCACCCGTAATCCTCTCCAAAGTGAAGACACGCCCATGGTTTTGAACAAATACCGAGTTTGAACGCTGTTTGAACAAAATTTGAAAAATCGTCGAGAACGGTTTCGCATAGCGCTCTGTTGGAGGTTGATTGGTGCACTTCGCAAAGTGGAAGGCCTAACCACTTTGTGATCAGGGCGTATTAGTAGCAGCGTGTTCAAGCTACATATCATGAAAGAATCAGGTGAGAAAGTCTACAACAACTATTTAAAAACAAAAAACTTAGATCCATTAGATGTATGTGCACCAACAATTTTGCCCCACCCTGTAGCTTTGATTGTTTAGCAAAAACAACTGAAGCAATCAGCAAAGTTAGCGTTAAAGGAATCGTGCACGGTAATCGTATGATTTCATAATATGTTTGTCGTGGATTCGAGATGTGAGACCCATCCTTCACAATAAGAACGAAAAAAAAAACAATTAAAAAATGCATTAGTTCCAAAAAGCAAGTGGAAGGGTTGAGAAAACTGCTAGGCGCTCATATTCCCGCCGTGGAGCTGTCACAAGCATTGAAGGCGAAGAGGTTTTCATTTGTGTTTTGAATTGCCGTCACCAAAAACCTTTCTAGACTCTTTTCTTATAGCAAGTCTACTTCACTCTTATATGCAAAATAATCTATCGTACTAAAACGTTTTCGATTCCTTCCCACGCGGCATCGCTCTATACATAGCCGCGTCGGTGAAACTCCAGTTCGGGGGGGGGGCACTCCATTGCTATCTTATCCGTAGTACTAGAGAGCAGTTCTTTGGGCTATCGAACACTACGGATAAGATAATAAGTGAACGACTCATTTCGAGCGTACTTTTGATAACGGGGATTACATTCCACAGGTATGACGTTTGATCAAGATTTCACACCTCCGTCTACTTCGCACCTTGCCTCGCACATATGCAGAGTTGCCTGTGGGATGACCTGACTTAATTGCATGCGCTGCCTGATGACCTTTCTCTGTCATTGTAAATCACATTACAGCAAACCAAATTTATTAACGGAAGAACTATAAAGAGTCATTGAAGTCATAATATGAGGTGATTTGAGGTGTTATTCAATGAATTAGCTTCCCTGGAGGCGGTCAACGATATGTACACTTGTGACACAGCAACCTATCTATGCAAAGAGTATTCCAACCACAAATAACTAATTGCTGAAATAGGTTCCTAATAGTCACCATTGACCGATGTATTGGGATATTCGGAAAGTTTCCGCCGATTTGACCGTCAAATTCAAAAGCGCATATCTTGATTCAAACAAAACATTTTCGATCTAAATGATATTACTATTACAATCCCTAAACATTCAATTACAAGAGGAGTATTCATCAAATTATGATGTTGAAAGTAACGGACTTCTGTAGGCGAAGAAGTCGGCGAAGGTCATTTGTTCATCATTTTGGGTTTCAATGTTTGTCTTTTGAAAAGACTATCCTAATGCCTGGAAAAGTTATAGTTGGTAAGCAAGAGGGCTACCTCAAACCTCCAGTCAGGATAAAAATTGTGCCAGGTTGATGGCCGAGATGGGGCTGCAGAATTGTGGGAGAGGAGTCAGCTGCACCCACTCGCTACTTCTCTGAACGTTTCACCCTCACCTGGACATTTAGGAAGCCCATCTCAGCCACGACTGATTTAGAAGAGGCCTGTTGAACAGTTCCATGCGGATTGTTGATGAGTACCCTCAGTTATTGTTTGTCCAGACTTAACACATGAGCATGAACCGCGCTTTCTACAACTACTCGAAAGTCATCTAGAATTGAAGCATTCAACAGTAAGAGAAAATCAAAAATAACAAAACTTCATTCATTCAGCTCACTTTCTTCCATCGCAGCTGTTTTCCTTCATCTTACTTCATTTTTCATATGATGCATGTGAAAAGGGAATAGCTTAGGGTCCGCAAACGCACAGTGGTTTAAGTTTTACGTGAATTTTATTGAAAGCACCCATGGATTCACGCCTGTTATGATAAATTCCCGTTTTTGTCATCTTCATCAAGATAGTTAGCTTTTTTCAATTATTTTGATGTGATTTACAATGACAGAGAAAGGTCATCAGGCAGCGCATGCAATTAAGTGAGGTCATCCCACAGGCAACTCTGCATATGTGCGAGGCAAGGTGCGAAGTAGACGGAGGTGTGAAATCTTGATCAAACGTCCTACTCCCTGTCCACACTACTGCCCACATCCCATCCACTTTTCTGCACAGGTGATCCACCCTGGAGCTCCTGCACCCTTAGCCCTTTGCGGAGGTGTCCTTTCTCCTGGTCCAGGACCGTTCCCTTGGGTCATGGCAGGCGGAAATGTGAAAACGTTTCAGGGTTTCTCACCCATTACACCAATATTTATCAGAAGTCTACTTTAAATGAGTCGATTACGTGTCGTGAGCCCTCTAATCCTTATCTTGAGTATTGGAGAAAAAATGAGTGCCCCCCCCGAACTGGAGTTTCACCGCCGCGTCATCATATACTTCGTATCATGCGCCTTCTTGACTCCGCCCAATTGTCTATGAACTGTCCACAAAGTAAGGTTTCAGAAATTTGTTGCTTTCTGGAAAGTGCTCTTCACTCACATTTGTACATTGCAACTAGCGATCACATAGGATTCATTCAGCGGGCAGGAATACGACAAAATTCCGTACACCCTTTTACGTTCCTTTTCTTCCTGGAGGGTAAAAACAATTTGACGCAAAAAAGAACGAGAGGGGCCCCACCGAAATAGGGCTGGTTCTCATCAGCCCTGGCCATGCGCTTAACAGAGTCCTTTTCCAGAAAAAAAAAATCAAATTTTTAACACAGACGAATTACGTAACCTTTCTGAGATTTACCGTCCCCTGGCAAAATTACTTACTTGTGAATCTGGCAATTACATTTTAATTGCAGTTTAGACTAATAAAATTAGTAAAAGCAGTTTCAAAAACAATGCACGCTAAACAAAAAAAATAAAGAAAAATAACGACAGAAGGGAAAAAAATTTTGACAGTTATTTCTATTTTTCTCACTTACTTCCTTTGAAAAATCAAAAGGAAGAAAGCCAAAACATATTTGCCGTTATCTAGCGATTGCAGGGATATAGTGTGTAAAGAAAATACTGGAGAACATTCCTCACCCCTTCATTCCCAACAATCGGCAGCAATCGATCGAGAGCTTTCTGCACGTTACTTCGCACTCCGCTGGCAACAAGTATCGAATTCTCCATTAGGATGTATTTGGAGTTGTTGTTTTTGAATGTTACTTCCTTCAAATGAATAAAAATAGCAATAAAAACACATACACAGTACATACACAAAGCCTATCATCGTATGAATTAGGATCACTGAAAAAAAATATAGGGAGCCTCACCTTCAAAAAACGCTCTGCTGTCTTCGCAGCCATTTCTCGATCGGCCTCATCACCTCTGAAATTGGTGCAGACTGGTGAAAAATAGAAATATCAATGGCATGATGCCTTGCGTTGTGAATGCTAACATCTGTACTTCACAAAAAAAAAAAAGCGAGGTGACTGCACTCATGGGTAAGAAAGACCAAAAATGGATGGAGTATGTGAATCTGTTCTGTTTTTGGTTGTGTGGGGCACCACTAGTGTGGTTGCATAAGTAAAAAAAACACAATATTAATTGCTGCAATATAAATGTCTCGCGCAGAATTACTTTCATCCCACTGGCCAGATTTTGAATCTCTAGAGGTACTCCGAAAGAGGACATCTAAGAGTATAGAAGGGACAACTCTTTAGCCATATCATTGTCTATTTTATTAGGATTTTTTTGAACGATGACCAGCCGAAATTCGTGAGTGCGCACGTGAATGTTCTACGGAATCCTGAGGAGCTGAATCGAGCTTAAGCTTTCACAAGCAAAAAGCGACCTTCATTAACCGTGCATCGTCTCGAAGAGGAACAAAAACAATGCTTTCGTGAATTCACTTCATGGTGACCAAAGCGCAGATCACAAAAAAATCGCTAGCGAATCGCTGGATCCGAGCATTGCGCCAGCGAATCGAACGTTGCACCAGCGAATCGAACTTTGCACCAGCGAATCGACCGATGCACCAGCGAGTCGAACTATGTACCAGCGAGTCGAATGTACCAGCGACTCAATAGTGGCGGGACCCAACGTTCAAAGGAAGCCCGCCACTTTCAAACAGTGTCCACTGTCAAGTCCCACCACTTTCAAAAAGGGTCCACTGTCACGTGACACTGCTCGAAAGAAACGGGCTTCCTTTGAACGTTGGGTCCGCCGCTTTGGGGTCGCTGGCGCAACGCTCGGATCCTGCGATTCGCAAAGTATGACGTCGACCGAAGCCGGACTGAGGACCTTTGACGTCTCCGCTAAACAGCTCTTGTCACACTCTATCTCAGTCTCCTTATCCAATTCAACACGGCATGTTGTGAAGAGGAAACGATCCTGAGACTACAAGAAATTCTAGTTTGGCCAGTCCACATTTGTCTGCGCACAGATGCTACAATTCTTCAAGAAAAATGACGAGTTTCCGCGTAAGAATGGCGAAGCTTGACATTTCATCTTTTGTCCTGAGATGCCGAAATAAATGCCGCTTTCAGATGTACATAAAATTGGCTGCTGCTCCATCCAATTTCATGTACACCCAGAAACGACATTTATATTGCAAACACTTAATAAATGAGTAAATAAAAACAGTCGCCAATATAGTGATGTTTCCGCCAAAAAAGACAACCAAACGGCAAAACAAGTTTTTTCACTGCAAGACGACAGTTGCCCTATTAAACACATTTATTCCTATAGGATTTGATCATACCCACAAAAGGCCACGACCCAGGAAGAGACTTCACTGCACGTGCATCCTTCGGTCGTTTAGAAAATGGCATGGATATTTCAAAAAATCGTATTTTTATAGTTACAGCTGTAATTTCTTTGAGAGGCGGATTCAACGATGAAAAGGCAGCCTATTGGAAATAAAGGTAGAGTGTCAGTGAAAAACGAAAGAAGAAAAAAGCCAAGAAAACAGCCAAAAACCTGTGAAGTGGGCCCCTTCCTTGCCCGTTGATACTCTCATAGGTGCTGATCTTCAACGCTAACGATCTACCTGCTTGGCGGTTAGGGATCATACAGCGATAGGGGTGGAAGGGGGTGGGGGTGGAGCGCACCGCTCCAACAGCACGCCAATAGCACACCATTAGTACCGCGAGAAGGTTATGGAGGATGCGGGGACATTCCCAAAGGCACTTCATATCCATAGACCGACCAGGGGGACTGCCAACGACCCGGAGCCCGGGCCGGCCTTGCCGGGGGGCCGGAGGGCGGCGGCGGCGGCGGGGGTCGTGGCCCGTTCGGGGTTTGGGCCCACCAAGGCGATCCGCCGCAGGGAGGGCTACCCGAGAGGGGGGGGGGGGGGGGTGGTTGCGTATCCTTCGCATCGAAGTGTGTCGGTCGGCACCTACAGGTGGTTTACCTGTCGAACAGCAAAATCGTCTCAGAGTGTGACCGCGACTGCAATCACGAAGTCTGACATCTTTCACGCGAGATGGGCTGTTACGTGGCGCGATTGTTACTGCTACTGTCAAAGAAAAAAAGCAAACCCTACTTTTTTAGAACAGTCTTCAAAAGATTCAGCAACGGAAACAAAGACTTTAGGCCTATATCAGGAAAAAAAGATTCGACTAAAAAAGGGAAAAAATGAAGCCTGCTTGGCAAGCGCGGAAGCTAATCTTTGCATTTGTACGTGTCTATTTTGTCACAACATGCTGTTTTGACAAACATACATGTTTGAACAATTTTCTTTCGTTAACAATACAGGATTCTCTCTCTACCCCTTCTCCTCATTCTGCAATAGCGCCATCGACTTTTTCACTCATGGCAAAAGGTACCCTTAGGCTGGTGTCAGAGTCCGCTATCCGTCGCGTAATTTGTGCAATTTGCGCAAATCGCAAAAGTCGCAAGGGCCCATTTGAACATTGGGAACACTGAATATAAAACAAGTAGAATCATGAACAGTCGACGCAATGCGACGGAGCGCGAACTCTGACACCAGCCATACGCTAACAAACCCGAAAACCGTACGACAAAAAAGAAGGCTCAGAAGTTGGAGCGCTAAGATTGTCTTAAAGGAAGCAGTCACGCTGGCTTCCACGCTGGATTTGCTATCCTCGCGTTATCAATCGATAAGGTGTGAGGCAGTAATTGTTGGACGAGTGTAAGCCCATGGAAGATATGATACGATGAGATAAGAAGGTGCGGCTGCTTGATAAGAGGTGCACTCCAGAATGAAAACGGGACGATAACGATAACGGTATCATATCTAGCACGCTCTTATCGCACCCCTTTCCACATCGATAAGTCTTGGTTTTTGCTGAACTTGAGTGAATTTCGGCTCCTTATCACTTCATTGATAAGGGGCCACTGCCACTGAAACTTTACGTGTTCTAACATTGGGCAGGACCTCTATCCACTCCAATACATAGCTTTCCTTATCGTTGCCATGAAAATTATCGTGACTGCTTCCTTTAAAAAAAATTTGTGGAGCAAAATCCTCGAGTTTTATGCGTTGGAAGTTCTGCAGCAAGATGCCCAAGATGTCCTCCTCCCCAGTCCTTGCCCGTCAACCCGACGCAATTGATACTTTGATTGCTCAGAATTGAGTGCTCACGTGCGTGGTCTTCGATTGTCGTGATAAGTCTTGTAATTACGCGTCCTCCACATGAGGGAACAAAGTGTTACGGCGGGCCAACAATCCAGCGGCTTAAGCCGAAGTATCGGGAGTGCGTAGACACAGTTCGGTGAGTCATGGTGAACGGAGGTCGAGGACGATCCAAAAAAAACTCTTTAAGGGGTTCATACAAGCCAATGACGAACTACCGATTAGAGAACAGGGTCCACAAAAAGTAAGAGTAAACAAGGGTAAGGTCGTACCAGGCCCGTAATCACCACTGGCTTTGCTGATGAATTTTCATGAGGTGGAGCACCACCACAATAAAATGAAAAAAAATGTAACATTAGTAATTTTTGAATCATAATTATTCACATCTCCAAATCTGTTCTCATAGAACTTTTTTCGATTTTCTGAACAGTTTCCTCGGGAACACGACAATCCGTCAAGATTAACTGACAAGGTTCTAACTGAAATGAGAACAAGATCCTAGTTCTTTAGGATGTGAAATACTTCAGGAAATATTGGATATCTTTGCGGGCTATTAAACGGCATTACCGAAAGTCTGGACTAGCCCCATTTCTATCAAACGAGTAAGCACAAATTTATAATAACTGCTTCAACAAGAAAAAAAATAAAAGAAACGGAGACTCGATGTATAATTGTATGACAATACCTGTCATCGGCATGGTCGAGCACTTCACCACCAATTATCTCGTTGTCCGGATTTAGTACGATTTCGATCATATTGTAAAGAGCACGTTCGCCCCATTCCAAATCTCGTCGGGCGCGATTGAACGCCTGTAGAGCGGCATTCGGCTCTCCTGAGTACCTGAAAGCCATAAGTTAATGCCTGAGCAATATTTTAACCCTGAAGTTAGGCGAATAGTATAATGAAAAATATAGATATACACTGCGTTCAATAATGATACAGCCACCTAAAATTTGTTCGAAAACTTAAAGTTCATAGAGTTTCTGAAAAACTGTCCAGATAGAAAATGTGACAAATTTCATGGCGAGTTCAGATATCAACACAAAAATCCATGTTGAAAACACAAAAAATTTTGTGCTTATTTTTTCAGAAGAGGTCGATTTTCCTATGTTCAAAAATGATACAGCCACCCCGTGTTTCTTCGTTGAAATTCATTTTTGCTTCATGAAACTGATTCGCAGTTATCAGGCTTTCACCTTAATGTTCCCACAAGATAAAAAGACAGTTAGTTTGAAAAAAGGTAAACAGTAGCAAAAGAAAGACCAGGAATCGTCAAGCAGTCATATCGCGCGAAAATTGAGTCAAAGCTCCAATACGGTTAACAATCTTTTCTGGAATCCTGTAGGTTATGGAACAGCGAAGAGCTCTGGATGTTCATCATTGCTTTTTGGTCAATTTAAACTTCGCATTTTGGGGAAACATTTCAATTTCATCGAACAGTGCCCGGAATTCCAGTCTTCTTTCAAAATTAAACTTTCAATGGATATTGTTTGGGATGTGTTGAAGAATTTCCGAGGTCATTCTTCAATGGAGAATTAAAGAAACCTTGTTTGTGAAAAGAAATTCTCTCGAAAACTGAGACATTTTTTGCTCGAAAGTGTAGCCACGTCCACTGGAGCAAGATCAGTTCTTTTGTCTGTTATGTCTTACTTTCTGTTTACTTTCTTTCGAGTTTTTCCTTCCTCATTAAGGGTTTTTCCTTTCATTAGACTCCTATGAAGCGAAAAACATTGAGAGAAACGCAGAGGCGTTGTAGGCGATAGGCGACTTGGCGACTTGGCGGCTGCGGGCTCAATGGGCGGAGCAACAAATCATACGTATCGTTTCCTTATCGCCTAATCGCATATGGACACGTATATATTTCTTTCTGATCATCGCCTTATCGCTTTATCGCACGTACGATCGCCAACTATGGAAGCTCCATAAGAAAGAGATCAAACACATCTGGCCGATGGTCTGGCCCATCCTTTTACCTACTACGAGCTCGAAAAACCTGGAGCGGGGTGCTACGTTAGCGTCGATTTTCAGGCGAGGCAGACGCACAAAACAACGGAATCTCACGGTAAGCGCCGCGGATTGGTATTCCCTGAAGAAGGGGATACATAATTATGTAGCGGCTTTCTGGGATGACCATCGGAAAGAGGCATAACGACAGCGTTTCTCCGCTTTGTGCAGCATACGTTGAATTTGTGTGGTCAAAAATTGGCCCTTATGGGTGTTCTGAAAAACGCTGCACTCAACTCAAACACGGAGCTGGTCAAAAGGCTCACCCCGCAGCGAAGAGTACGTAGAGTGCAGAGTACAGTCGATATCCGAAAGTTGGGGTGGGTGTGTCACCGGAAGTGACGTGCACTTGATAGAAGTGCGTGGATAAGCTGTTGCCAGCATGCTTTGCTGATAGCCAGCGATGTATGTTGGAAGCAGCTTATCCACATAGTTTCTATCAAGTGCACGTCACTTCCGGTGACACGCCCACCCCAACTCACCGATATCGAGTATACGTTTGGCGCTGTATTACCGTCTTATTGTATTCGTGACGGCGCTTGTGTGACCCCAATGGTCGCGTTATTAACCAACCAAAAGTACCCACCTCTCTAGAAGACTCCATAGACCTTCACTGCCATTATGCGCTCAAAACTGAGGCAGAAATGGAAACCTCATCACCAATGGTTACAGGGACGCGGCCGGGAGTGATTACTTGCGCTCCGAGAAAAAGAACAAAATCGATGCACGAATTGAGCCGCTACTCAAAGTAAAATAGTAAAAAAGAAGCCGGAGCGCTGATTAACTTCCTTCTTTGAGTACAGGATGAGCCTACGAGGCAGTCTGAGAAGCAATGGCGTGCCGGGGCCAAAGAACAATTTCGGGAACGAGGGAGCATGGCGGAAGTGCGAGACGCAGAAATCAACGCGTTTCGACGGGGCGAGCGAGATAGGCAGGGTGTGTAATGCGGCAATTCGTCAGCACTTGAGCACATGCAGACCGTTTCGAGCCACGAAAGTAGCGCCTTTTGCTACCCGGCTACTTCATCACGGAAGGATTGCTTCACTGGAAGTAATCGTGGGATAGATATACCCCTTCGGAAAAATGAGGAGAGCGTCGGGTACAGACCATACACCGCAAAAGACGACCGCACTCCACAAAATGTAAATGTTCTCTGTCAATGAAATGACTAGCCTCTTGCTTGCTTGTATATTCTAATCAGCTGATCACTAAATTACAGCTAATCCCCTTTACGCAAAATGAGCCTATCACTATAACACTACTGCTTTACTTGGAGGCCGTCGTCACTTGTGGTTTATGGTCTGCATCCGCCGCTCTTCTCGTTTTTTGAAAGGTAGAGTATGTAATCATCATCTCATGCATATGGTGAGAGACGCAGAGACAGTCGATAACCCTGTTCCTTATGCACATAAGCACATTCAAGACAAACATAATTGGGTGCTAACTTAGTTGGGGGGGGGGGGCACGCGGCGGCGCGGCAGTCTGCTCACCTGGGCTCTCTCGAGCGAGACAGTGTAAACTCGAACATTCCAGCTTTTCACGCATGTCAAGTGACTGCCCCCACCCCCACCCCCCTAGACTGGCTACACTCCCCCTGGCCCACGGATTTCCGAACATGCCAGGCGAGCAGACTGCCGCGCCGCCGCGTGCCCCCCCCCCCAACTAAGTTAGCACCTTTTTTTCTAGTGCCCCCTTTACTCGTTCAGTCTTTTTTGGGTTTAAAAATGTTCAACTCGCTCACCATTCATGCAATCCTTTGCAGTAGCTATAGCCAGCGTCGACAGACGCCCTTGGGCCCTTGGGATTGTTTTCGATAGCTTTTCTCAGGTATTTGTCTGCCTGGTCAACATGACCGGACACGCCACGCCAATTCCAGACATCGTGCCAATGCATGGTAATGATCTGAAAATCGATAAAGGTGTACAACGATCAATTCCAAAATCGCACGACAGCTTGGATTGTAAAGGGCCATAAAAGGCATGTAAAACGTCAGCATTCCATTGCTATCGTTACGAGCGGGGAATTGCCGCTAAATGCTGACGAGATCATCGCATTTGCTGCGGTGAGCACTTTCCGTAGAAAGATAGTTGTTTGCTGCTGACATATCAAACTTTATTGTTTAGCATACACAACATAACTTCCTCCGAAAAGCACCACCCCCAGATCGAATTTGTGGTTGATTGTGAAGTGCGGATGTTGAGTTGACTAGAAATGAAAAAAGAAGCAAAGAAATCCGTCGATGAATCCTAAAACAAAAACTCCCTAACCCCCTACGCAAAAGGAAGGGGCGGGACCAGACGAGTTGCGCGAATCTATCTGCTCCACGGCTCAACCAACGCGCACGTATAACCGCCACGCCGTAATCCACGTTGCATGTCATGGCGTGTCGCGACACAGCTCGTCCAAATGTTAAGATTAGTCGCCAAATGCTGACTTTCCTGGCGCCATTGTCGCGCACTTTGAGCCGCGACAACGGCACATCTGTGATACTCGTGGGCTACCCTATCCCAGATGAATAGGTCCTTATACACGACTTCTGCTGGGGGTGCTGCTTCAAATGGAAGCCATAGGGTAATGGACAGCTGTGTCACTATCACACGCATACTCCATAGATCAAATATGGCGAGCCAACCAGCTTCCCGCTCCTCAGATATGCTTTATTAGATACCGTCCATGAATGGAAGGCCAAAAAGGTTATCTGCCGTCCCCGAAATCCTTGCATAGGCAAATATGCATTCAAATGCCAAGAGGGTCTTGCATGGTACAAAAACACGGCGCATCCCGAGAGGGATTGATCGAAACCGAGCACATTACACTTTGCCCTCAGTTTGCGCTGATTGAAGGTTCATTAAAACGTCTTATTTTTATACAGGGTTTTATCAGCCAATCAACAGAACAGTTTATGAAGGAGAAGATTAGCGCATGTCAAGAACATGCATGTACTCATAAATTGCCTGGCTCAGAAAAGGGTGACATCAGTTGGAACCCGGAATATTGATCAGGGAGAATCCCCGTGAAGGGGCCAACTGCTCACTTCGCGAAATTTCGCCATGTGTTGGAAAATTATCGACCTTCACAGCAGAAAGAAACTGAGGTAATAACTTCATGAGTACTTCACTCAGAAGACTGAATCGTAGCTCAAAATCCTATAGAAGTACTGCCATTTCTAC